TAACGCTTCAACTGGCTTTATTTTTTAACCACAACTATTTTCGTGAAAAACCTCTAGGTTCCGTTCCACTCAATATTGCTTAAAACTTAGGTACACCAAGTAAAAATATACAGTTGGGTGAGACTTTTCAACCAACCATGGCTACCATGGTACGGAGAAATCAAGAGAACACGAAGAAACAAACATAAACAAAATAGCACTGTAAGAGATGGTGGGGCAGTTTAACGCCAATAGTAACCGAAGTACTGGCGCTCCGCCAACCAACAATTCGTTATAGAACCAAAGAGTTTATAAAAGCCATCGATCAGCACACTAGACAGGAATGTGGGTTCGTTGAGCTCGTAATAAACGATCTCGCCTTTGAGCATGCAGAGGAATGTCCTTGCATTGGCCTATTCACCCAATTAAATAACCCTTGAAGCCTCTTGCTGTACGGATCTGCAAGATCACTGATCTTTTTGCTTTACCTTGCAGATACTGTCTCTGCGCAGTGCACACTACATCACAGATTCCGATGTAACCACCTTAGCTTCACCGTAGTACGACATCGGCAACTGTACACCCATGCTTCGGAACAATCTTTAATAGTTAGCGCTGTTCGTGTGTATAATGTTCTCCTTCTTTTTTTTTTTTGTTTTTTTTTTTTTCAGTAAGCTTGATGCTTTGTGTTACAGCCAGTGTGAAATTCGTAGAAAATCAAGATGCCTCTATTAAATAACTGATCCAACTTAACAACTAATCAAAGAGACTAGATAATACAAATTTTATACTTATAGCCAAAGACGGCCAGTAAAGTACCAGACAAAACGCTTCGTCCTACCAACAAACATTGGCCCAACATTTCAGATGCGACTGTGGATAAAAGTTATTACTGTTCGACAATTACCTGTCTTTCGGAAGGCTTTAATAGCCGGAATGATAGTTTGGAATTTCTTAGATGTTTTGAGTCCTCCCTTCGCATGAAATTACAGGTGATGAGCTGTGAACAAAAACCCAGGAATGTGGACCAGATGGCAGGATAGGTAGATAACAAAGGAAGAAATAGCTATAAGTTGAACACTTCAATAATCAAGTATGGATGAAATAGATGCGAAGTGCGGCCATGAAATAATTACCATCTAGGCCATAAAGCGGAATACCAGATAAGTGCTGAGTGAAGTACTAGGCTAACAGGAATTTCTGTAAAACAATTAAACAGTGATAACCATTTAAAATCCAGATAGTCAATGGCAGCAAAAATCAAAAGAACTAGCATTTCTTAGTGACCACAGTCGTAAGAACCCAGCCAATATAGTGTTTGTCGAAATCACAAGAAACCCTTCTAATTTTATGACTTATACTTTTCCTTTAAAAGTTCAATAAAATCGGCATGTGAGGCGTATAAGATTTCTTTCAGAGGTGCTGCGTCCAACCAACGAACGTTTACTGCGTCATCACCTGCCTAAAGCACATAATGCTTAAGTCGCATAGAAGACGCAGCAGCGTATTTAATTAATAAGTTTGCATACTTTTTTAAAAGTTTTTTGAAGTTTTCAAAGAGCTGAAAACACCTATAAGTACAAAAAAACATCGTTCCTATACCTCAGTGGAGACTTCATAAGTGGTGCAATCAAATGCTACCTTAAACTGAACCTTGTCCAGAATCCCCCCATCGTCATGAAAATTAAAAGCAACAGTTTCCATCCAAGCATTATCGGTGTTACGCGGATCATCAACGTAACCTCTATACAACTCCTTACCCTTCTTCCACAGAGGTGCTACGATAGAAGGGTCAGTCTCCCACAAAGCCTCTTCTGCAAACTCTCTGTAAAAAATTGGTTTATTGATTCCTTGAAAAAGACTGTATTTTTGTAAGATATGAAGCAGCATACAAGTATAAGGAACTGTAACCACACAGAACCAAAAAAGGAAACCTTTTCGCCGCTTCAGCTGCAAGTTCTCCCGGTTCAATCATCCCGCCTGGTACTGCCCAAATATGACGATCTCGCCGTTCAATGGCAATAAACTGTAGTCTCCCATCATGAATTCTCGAAACGATGCAATCAGCAGCATGATTTGGACCCCATTTTCCCAATACTCCTCGACCTCTCAAACCAGTTCTCCCGTTCGGGTTCAGCGGTCGTCCATCTTTACTTAGCTCATATTGCCTCAAAATACGGCAAAATCAGTGACACTTTCTTGTTTCGAATTTTATGCAGTAAATCTAATAACAGTGACAAATGACAAGGACTCTCCGTAAAACGACCTTTCCAAGTGAAAACAGCCTAAAATCTGCCTAAACTTTGTTACTGCTTACCCTTGATGGGACCGTCTATCTACACGACCATCAATTTGATTCCATTTGAAACTTCCAACTCCAATTTCTTTGTCGGCATATGGCTTACCAACCAAAGTTGAAGAAGTGTAGTCTGGAGCCGAGTAATTTTGCCAGCTAGTGCTCCACCTTACTTTTTCATCCGGAACTTCCACTCGGTATATTTTGCTATGCAAATATGGCTCAGCTAAAAGTATTTTGTTTCTACATGGTTAACTTACAAGGCTGATAGCAATTTTTTTCTGACGGCTTCGGTCATTAGAACACTTGATTAGAAAAAAGTAGATGAATCCTACGTTGCTGAAGGGTTATCGGCATGAAAACTGCCGCTCTAAATTCTCACTTCCTCACCGTTATATCTGGTGAAATCTGATAAAATCATAACAAATACATAGAAGAATGACTAATTTACAAAAAAAAACTACAATCTACCTAGGTATTATCAACTGGCAAAAAATATAAGTAGAGTAACGAAAACAAAGTATAGACAATTTGCAAAGATGAAAATTCACAAAGTAGGGCAACGTATAAAACTAACTAAGAATCGTAATTTAAGAAAATGTTACATATCAATTCCAAATATCTCTTTCTTTGTTTTTTTACTTTCTTATTCTACTCATTTATTTTTTTTTGCGGCCATCAAATATCACTTGTACTCACCAAGAAGTATGAAACATGGAAGGCAAGGATAGCATTACTGTCAGAAGCGAAGTATAATATAGTACCTGTGTTTCTGCATTTGGTATGTAATCGCTCTGACATTGCCAAGCACCGAATTTCGAACAACTGAATCCTGTTAAAGTAACGCATCAACTAAGAGATATATATCACCTCATTTGCCTCATTGGTCACGTGGGGTAGGGGCGTGTATATACACTTATATATACTTACGTCGAAACGTCGAAACGCTTAGTGGCAAGGCATGTGCAACAGTGCTGCTACAGACGGATTTGAAACGCTTCAATCCTCGTTGACGTCACAAAAGCGCACAGTGGTCACTTCATTCGCCTCACCTTTGTGACAAAATCAAAAGTTGTCTTTAAAGTTATATTGTCGTCTTACAAATTATATATATATATATATATATATATATATATATATATTGTATATTTATATTTATATTTATATATATATTTATATTTATATTTATATTTATATTTATATTTATTTGTTGTTTGTATTTGTATGTTTCTGTCTGGTGGAGTTGTTGATTTGTTTGTGTTGGATGTTTGATACATAATTTAGTAACAACAAGCTTTGGCATAATAAATAATGTTCTCTATGGTGTTCTGTTGCAAGCCAACATCTGTGCTTTGATACATAGATGTATGACTCTTATATCTGCATAGAACAGGTTTAGCAGCAACACAGGATACTGCTTGTTGGATGAGCATTTTGTCTATAGGTAAAAATTGCCATATACAAATTCCATTAATGTTTAGTGAAACTGCTTAAATTTTCCCGAAAATATTCATATTTGCTCTTTTCAAAATGATCATTTTATTGCTGTTTTTAGTATTTCGAAGAATTCTGTATTAGTTTACTTGCTTTATGTTCATTTGACGTCCTGTTGTTGGGTAACAATTAGTGTATGGAAAAGTGGTGTTTTTGGTTATGGGTTTACTTGTAGTTAGTTTATGAAACTGCGTTTTCCAGAGAATTGAATTGCTGATTGAAGAGAAGAAATTAAAGAAATAGCTGTTATTGCCACCCGATATGGTTGCTCAGTCAGACGTTGTTGTAAGTGCTTTTTGCTTCATAACATGACTAGAGAGAAACGTGGAACTTTTTCACTTCTTGTGTTCTATCAGATTTATTTTCAGGAGGTTCCAGATGAAGTTGACAGCTTTTTGGCTAGTCAAGATGGAATGATAATTCGTGACCGCGACTCGAGAATGTGCCGTCATAATGCCCGTCAGAAATGTACCCACTGTTTGCCATTAGATGTGAGTTTCAGAATTAATATTTACAGTGATTTATACTTTTGTTAACTTTAATCCAATCACAATTTAAGCCTTACGACGAAGATTATCTGAAAGAAAAAGAAATCAAGCATATGTCATTCCACAGTTATGTTCGTAAACTAACAGCAGGGCGTGGGAAAGGACATGCTGTTAAACCTCTGGAAAATCTCGTTTGCAAATTGAAACCAAACTGCCTGGGACACAAACCGTATCCACAAGGCATTTGTTCAAAGTGTGCTCCACCAATGATCACTCTAAATAGACAGGTCTTTTATTTTACAAATTACTTTTAGTCTGTCGTCAAGAAATCAATTTTCGTCGAAGGAAGGTAACTCATATTCTGATTTTTGACTGTAGAAATTTCGTCACGTTGATAATATCTCCATTGAAAATGAAGATGTTGTGAATCGTTTTCTTGGATTTTGGCGTAAAAGCGGAAACCAGAGGATAGGATACCTTATTGGTCGTTATGAGCCATTTTTAGATGTTCCGCTTGGTATTAAAGCCACCGTAGCAGCGATATACGAACCACCACAGGTATTGTGAAATAAAAAGTATTTGCTCCTTTAAGTTACTGATTAATATCACTTAATTCATTTTAGTTTATCTTTGTTTTAGCGAGGGAATTTGTGAATGTGGGTTTAATACAAGGTTACTTTATTATCTGAAAGTCTGGGAAGGGTTTTCAGTCTGATAGTTTAGGAGTCATCTTCCGATTCTGTTTCTTTGGTGGACGATCCTCACGAAAAAGATGTGGATCTTTTATGTTCTTATTTAAATCTTCGTCGAGTAGGTTGGATTTTTACGGACCTCTGGTCTGCAGATTCGGCAAAGGGAACGGTGCATTGTACAAGATATATGGTGAGCTTGTCTTTATGACATTTGTTCTGGAACTGGTATCTTAATGGGGTTATTTCATTCCTCTTTTTCCATTTCTGATTGTAAAGCTTTTGAGTTTTTCTTATGATATCACCATCGAACCATTTTTGTGGTGTTAAGGATTCCTTCCTTCTTTCTGCGCAAGAGTGTATTACTGCCGGGTCTTTACAAAATAAATATCGAAACTTAACAAAATACTGCACCGAGGGCTATTTTGGCTCAAAATTCGTTACACTAGTAGCCTCTGGTAATGGGACTTCGTTATTGCTATTCTTAGCCATTAAAATTACTTCTGTTTCAATAGTAGTTTTAGAGTATTATGATTTGGTATTTTTCAGGAGACCAATCTGAGCAGATACACTTTTCTGGCTATCAGGTTTCAAATCAATGTGCAGCTTTAGTTGATGCTAATGTTTTGTGTCCTACCTCTTTCCCTGAACTGGCATATGTACGAGAAAAACCCTTAAGTCCAACCCATTATATACCAGATGTTCATTACACGGTATTTACAAAAGCATCTCATCTTTGTTTAAACGACATTTCTGGAAATTAAAAAGGTTCTTTGGTCGGTTGAACAGTCAAAACTCCTTACACTTTATTTATAACTTTATTTCAACTCTTATTCACTCAGGAGAAAAATGAGTACGGTGTTGAAACACGTCGTGACGGTAGACCGATGCCAGTAGAATTTATGTTAGTTGACGTTCCGGCGGGGATGCCTAAAGAGCCGAATTTCACTTTTCATGCTGTATCCTCAAAAGAATTTTCTTTTTTAATTGAAAATAGGTTATGCATTGGAGAAAAACAGGTAGGACTTATGTTATCAGGAGAAATTGTTTAATTTTTTATTTCTAGTGTCATAAGGGTTAACAAAGGGGCGTCGTACTTTTGTTAACCTTTGAAACAGTTCGTTTATTTTGAAAGAATCGGTATATGATTGTGTCTTCGCTGAACAGTAATTTTCAGGACACAGATTCGTTGGGTAAATACATAGGACAGTTCAGTAAAAACCAGTTTTTGGAACTTGCTTCGAATTTCCACTTTTTATTATTTCTAAAAACCAATAACATCGTTCACTTTACTGAGGTTATTTCATAAAATTTTGTTCCTTTGAAATAGAAAATATCACAAGAGAGAGAGGTTTTTTATTAATTACGTTTCATAAGACATGATTCAGTAATTTTTGCAAGATAAGGTAGTAAGTGTAGCGGTTAACATTGGAATTTTTTGACGGATTTGGGCTTTACATTAGTATTCGTGGTGGGAGCCGCAGTATACAAGGGGAATCCACATGTACTTTTGGCTGCTCATTGCTGAGTTTAGATGGAGCTCTTGTGTTTCTTTAATAGAAATTTATAAAAGTAAAGGATTGAAGTTGGCAAATTAAAACACCTCGGATGTGTTGTTATATTCTTCTTTAAATTTGTAATATAGATAAAAGATAGCGGAAGTTAAGATTCTATAAATAAAATACCTTTTTTTGGTCAGGAAGAGATAAAGCAATTGTGCACTGCTGTAAGGGACAGAAATCGTGGGGAAGCGATGGAATGGGCTGAGAACACGACCAACTGGTCCACATTAGTTGCTCTTCTCCAGCATTCTTCTGAACGTATGATTATTCTGAACCGACTTGTGTACTTCTTGGTTACAGTTTTTGTGTCAGCTTTAGGACATCAAATTTAGGAATCAGTAAATTTTCATTTTTCAGACTCATCTTCGGAAGCTTCATCTGACCACTGGGCGTGTAAGCACTGCACTTACGTTAATACAGAAAAACGAAGCGACTGTGCAATCTGCGGTCTTCCTTATGAATAATAGCAACGGTCTTCGAATGAAATTTAATTTTATTTTCCCTTGATTTTTTAGACTGTCTATACTTTATCAAACGGGTAATGGTACTTCGGCAAATATTCATGACTTAAATACCACCAAAGTACTTTGCAAAACTTTGTCAAATAAAAATTGTTAATTTTAAGGAATTGAACTAACTGTGTAGTGTATTTGCTATTGGTGGGAAACTGTAGTAGGTAAAGTTCTGTTTTGCATTTCCTTCTCAACAACAGCCATTTAAGTTTTCCTAGCAGACCTAGGAATCATCGCCAAGCATAATCTGCCGGGTTATGCGTTATAATTTACTCCTGTTATTTAGAATTCTCGTTATAAAAACTTTATCCATTGAATTAAATTTCTCGATTGTAATGGTTGCTTCTGCCTCCGCTGATTATTTTATGTGCAAACCTCTTTTTACATTACTCTGAAATGCTCAAGATGTGGATTTAAATGGTACGAGGCGAATCAGAAATACAATCAGACAAATGTTTCATTGCTTTAAGACTGCCAAAAGATTATTTTTTTTAAAATTTAAAATTGAAGAAAATTTGTGGCAGAAAAGTTATTGTGTGGGTGGCAACATTCATCTTGTCCCGGCGCGTATAGGCATGGTAAAAAAGCTGAAAATTTTGCACTTGTTATAATTGTTCGGGCTGGTGTTTTGCAACAAGTACTTCTTTTTCCAAATGCAGTTTTTTGCAACTTGTATTTGGTACAGGTGGCGTGAGTGTAAATATCAACATTGCCAGTATGATGCAGAACGAGGTTTACGTGGAGCATACGAAGCTGGTCCGTTGGTAAGTTGCCAGGCCACTAAAGTACTCTCCTTGCAAAAAAATCATGCCTAGGAGAGAGTCATGGTTATTTATAATAATTGTTAAAACAGTGCAGTTGTTCAGTTTTAAGCTTGTTCCCTTGAAAGACGCACCCTATCTTAGAAGCGAAGGAAGAAGTACGGTTAAGGTGTGTTGTCGCGAAGGTTTTTTTGCTATGGTGGTTTTATCAATTGAAAGTACGAGTAGGCTAGTCAGGTTACACGAACTGTACTGATATTGTATGGTTCCAATGACTCATTTCCGGGTCTACAACAGGTCATTGGACAGTCAGGATGTTTTGAATAGTGATTTTGGTCATCCAGGAGATATCAACGAGGACGATGGAGGATCAGCAGAAGTTTACAGAGGAATCTTGGTGAACTTCATATTACTGAAGAAACTGTTAATACCAGCCATGTTCAGTTGCATTATCTCTCTTCAAAGTGTTTTCCACCTCACGGTTTATCATACACTGTTGTCCCAAAAGTGCAGTATATGCAAAAAGTGATTTTAATCCAATTCACCCAAACCTGGCATCAGTTAACAGGATGTTCGGTAGTTCAAGAAAAAAAATTTTTTTGTCTCTCCAGCTTTAAAACAGGCTTGTCTGAAAAAGTTGCATATTATGCACAGAATAATTTAAATCCATATCTTAAAATTGCTATAAACAAGGTTCGCTGTCGCAGAACAGATTTGCAACCACTCTTAGAAAAAAAAAGTGGAAACTGCGTAGTGTCAAAGTTTCGAGCAAGTTTGGACCCTCGCTACCAGAAAGATACGTGTCAACAAGAAATATGATTTAGCTCTGCAATCGTATAGTCGATAACTGATTCTTCAAACGCTTTTGGCAGATTTACTCTGGATAGCGGCACCAGTTGTCGATCAAGAAATTATTTAATAAATACCCGGACACAGCCACTTGTCTGTTGCACCCGCAAAGCAAAGCATAGAACAGTAAATCCTTTGATGAATTAAGATGACTGTGGCAAAAAATTGAGCTATCTTTCAGTGTAAAACTAGTGAATTTGATTTGCATCTGGTCATGGACCTATGCGCCCAGATCGATTTCTCTTCCAGATAGTTTGTGTCCTAGCGCTATTCACAGCCTTGCTTCTCGCTCGTTACAAGCTGCCGCTTACGTAAATGTTTTGTTGTACGTGCGACGTGCCGTTTACTTCAGCCGAGACAGAAGTTTTCCGTCCGTTAAGCCTGCCTAGATGCTTGATTTATGCCTGAAATGTTAGGATTTCTAGAAGGTTTGAGAAGCTTGATACTAACCTGTATATTTCCTCAGCTGATTCAGCATGAAAAAGGCACAGACTTGAGGGTTCAAATGTTAATTACTTTGCAACTGCATTTTTTTTCTAAAATTAATAAAATGCCACTTTTCTACTCTAACTTACTTCCTTTTGCAAAACAAGTCACTTTGGTGATGAGGTTTTAAACCGGTTTAGCAATAAGATAGCCGCAAACAATTTTTTTTCTTTTTTTCGCCTTCTCTACATTCTTAATTTTACATTTACACGGTGCCCGAATTCGCTGACACTGGAGTTCTGACTAAAATTATAAAATATAACACTACGGGCAAGTTTACCTGAAGAATTCCTTTTGAAAAATTCAGTCTGATACTGGGACTGACAAGCACTGTTGTATCCTGGTTTGGTATGCATGGAAAAAAAAGACTTCTGTTGAAAAGCATCGTTCCGGTTTCTTAGAACAACCGTTTTGCAGCGTAAGCATTAGCGTTAAGAGTAGTCAAGTATTACCATTTCTTCTAAAGCTTAACCACAAATCAGGATGTTTTTCGCAACGGCTCGTCTTTATGAAGGGGTTTTGAGAAGGAACAGGGAAGGATCGACAGTTGTTGCTCACCTAGATTAACATTTTTTTGACTCAATCTCCTACATACAATTTTGGTATACGGATGTAACCAAAGGACTATATTAGATTAAGGGCCCCGTTTTTAGCAGCAAATTTGCTGAACGGTAAAACTGCTACCAATCCAAGCTTTCTTTTACGGGATTCTAATAGCATAACAGCAGTTGTTCTTAGATTTACGTATTGTTTGCCTCAAATTATAGTCACCAAAAAGAACAGGAATTTACAGATTTGCGATCACTTGATACCTTTGTTCCCAGTATAGTGTCCCTGCAAGTCGATCAACCTGAGCAAACTCTCAGACGGTGACATTCAGATATACAAAGAGAGTTGTGAACCTGTTTAGGGTAACTGAGCCCTGGTTCACTGGAATGATGTGCCTTTTACATCTGAAGGGGTGTCTAGTCTTAATTGACAGGTTTTGCCACTGAAGGCACGGTTTTGAAGCTGACTTTTGTAGATAAGTATTATTTTCCCCTTCCCCTTCTCACGGTCACTGTGCTCGAGTTACAACAGAAAATTAAGCGCCAGAAACTTCCTACTGGCTCAGTCTTCTGAGTACTGAAATTCCAATTTTTTCCCCACAGCACTGAAAGAATTATTTAAATTGTTTCTCTCCCACGGTACTTGCCACTTTAGCCAGCTACCAACAGTGCTGTATACGGTTTCTGGCATACTTCTCAAAAGAACTGTCTGATTAATTGTATTTTGAACGGTAGATTATTCTTTGCACTATTATTTGACTTTTCGGACTTTCTTCTTTGCGTTGTACTGTTTTCTATCCTCGTCGTAGTAGTTATTTTTGCAGCGTGGTGCCAGCTCAGTCCTCCAGGACGCTACGTCATGCGATGGCGGCTGAAGTTTTTAAAGTCATTAGTACGTCTCTTAAGCGTTCTAAAGTTTAATGGTCGCAACTTCAGTCTGTTGTGTCTCTTTCAAATACAAAAAGTTTCTGTACATTTTATACAAGAAGTTCCTCCTTTCCTTGTGGTGTGGCAGTCATATCTCCACCGAATGTTTTTTAGGAATCATTTAACATCTGTTCCGCTTTTCTCTCAACTGAAGTAGAACCAAAGTATGTATCTAATTCTAAAAGGTTCCAGGTCTTTTACCGCCTAGTATTAGCATTTCATAGATTAAAACATGCTAGGTATAAAACCGAGTAGGCAAAGTGAGGGGCCTGTATTTTGCTTCTGTCGTATTAGAAATCGTTTGTCCAACTGATATTATCTTCAAGTAGCTGTTGCGAAACTGCACTTCATAACATTCTGAATTATGTCGGTGAGTTTGGTCACTTAAGAGCATGCTTCACGTTCTCTTTTGTAACTTATTTCTGAATATTCATCTCTTGTCATTCAGTGATTTCGTTATTGTCGTTCAGTGGTTGTTTCTTTTATTTCTTCTTTATGGGTATTCGATTTTGGTGGTAAATGGCTGAAATTCTTCTGCATGTTTCGTTTAAAAGGTAGAGTGGAAAACGATTGCAGGGAATCTTTTTAATTTTTTTGATTCTCTGGCTTTGAAGACTGTTATAAAGTAGGTTATTTTATTTTCTGTTAAACACACCAACAACAGTCATGTATCCCCATTTCATTTTTCAGTAGAATTTGGGATATTACCGTAGCGGTTGGTTCGTACAACAACCAGATTAGTGTTGTGGCTCAATAAATGGTTTGTAGCGAAAGAAGTTTGTGGTTTTCTAGTTGACAAGAGGCATTTTTTAGTGAAATGGAAACTAATTACTGTTATTTTTCAAAGGAAAGCTATGCATTCAGCGGTGTGGACGACGTTATAAAAACAAAAAAACATCAGTTTTTTTCACTACTGGTTGAATTTAATTGTAGGCGTTAGAATAAAGGAGCGTGTAAAACAGCGTGGTATGGATGTTGGAGTTCCCTTGCAAGCAACTGACCTTTTGCCGAAACCTGTCGATGAAACTGTTACAAAAATAGCTTGTATTAAAGCGGTCAAGTTTTGCATTTGTCTGTCTTTTTAGGCTTTTATAATTTAATTTATAAATCTTTGCTACAGTACTTGACATTACATACCAGAAATATGCAGCGAGGGTGAGAAATAATATTGGTTATGTTACTGGTCAGCTGTTTCATTTTACCTGCTCTTAATTTAGTTGGTAACAGCGGGTTCTACGTTTCAGGAATTGAATAAGGATCAAGGTAAGTTCAGAAATTTTTATATTATGTTTTTAACAAATCAGTCTTTTTTTCTTGCTTTTTTTAATTGGGCTGGATGCTGTCGTAAGCCTGTATCCTCAAAGGATTAGGGTATAAACAGTTTGCTTAAAAAATTTTGTTCCGCTTGTCATGATACAAAAGTGCTTTTATTTCTCATTCTCTTATTTCCTGCACCTTTTCGGTCATACTGCACGACTGGTTTAATAATTTACCAGTTGTATTTTACTCGTAATTTTGCTTCAAAGCGGCAGATTAGGAAAAAGAAAGCTATTGGTTTGATGTAAATGAAAGCCGTTATCTGTTTATTAAGGGCGAATGTGCCATGGGGCTTCCACTTTGCTGTCGGATCAGTTTGGTATGCCTGCTTTAGCTTGCGTTTTGCATCATATTTACAGTGCTGAAGAAGATGATGCTGTCAGGCTGCTTTTACTAGGTTTAAGCTGTGCAAAGCTTGGGATGGAGAAGGATAATCTTGTGTAAGCTTACACTTTCTTATGAGAGAATTTTGCTTAGGAATTTTTTGGGTGTATACTTATTGTTAATTTTGAAACGGTAACACATTTTAGCATAATTTTCTGATTTAGAGACTGGTACCCGACGTTTGGTGGGCCATGGGCATCAGCACCTTGCAAGGCGCGCGACTTGGATGTGAAGGTTATAATTGTACTCATGGTTCTCATACTGTTGTTTTGAAGTTTATTGTACGAATTATTTGATCGACACTTTAGGTACCTCCAGAGTATTTGACTAATGTTATGATCCGGGGAAAGCTTCCGAATATTAGACTGAACAATCTTGCTGAAGACACCCTGTTCTTTCTGTTTTACAATTTTCCTGGTGAAGTCTATCAGCGTGCAGCTGCTTGTGAATTGTAATTTTAACATCTTTCTTCACAGAGCTTTAATTGGTCAAGGCCGGAAAGTTCTAGTAAAGTTCTTGTTCTAAAATAGTTTTTTTTTTGTGGCTTTCTAAAGCATTTGCAAATGGGTTTCTTTGAATAGGTTTAATAGAAACTGGAGGTACCACAAAATAAGACGTCTTTGGCTGACAAGGACGAAGCCAGGTGAACTTAGAGTTCAGACATCAACGTATGAAGTCGGCACTTATAGCGTATTTGACCATGTTCAGTGGCGAAAAGTATGCATCTTTTCTAATGACCAGTTTTTATTAATAATAATAATAATAATAATAATAATAATAA